GGAAGAAACAGCTGCGATCACACACCACTCTTAGAAGCACGAAGCTGAAGACACCAGCCTGAAGATGACGAATGTGACTTCGTCGAAACGTCGCCAAGGTACTTTTAATTCTACGCGGGAGAAAACCCGAATAACTAAAGACCTACATACAAACACCCGCGAAAACCTCAGAAAACATATATATATATATATATATAAATAAAAGGGTATGGCTAACTGATGAAGGCAAAAAAGCCAGAAATGGTCCATCTTAGTCTCCCAATTTAATTCTTTACTCTCTGTCAGAAAAAAGAAATTTGGATATATATATATATATTGTGTGTGACTCACTAGAGATTTTCTGAGGGTAAAAATAAAATCCTTGTGTCTTTGTATGTGTATATTTCACAACCAAGTCCAATAAAACAAACTAATTCAATAAAACTAAAACAAAGGGGAACTATTGATTTTGAAGTCATTAAAAGTATTCTAGAACCCACAGAGAATCCTCCTTGGAAGAGTTCGTATAAATATCCATCTGCATCCAACAATCTGGTGTTTGCAAAAATAGCTGCTGAAAGAGACACTATATTTTATTAGCCTCTTATACAACTCCAACTAATGCTCAGTCAGTGTGGTGTGCAGTGTACATGTTTAAATAACATTGCATCAAGGTCAGGTTTAGGATAAGAACAAACTGGCATTGGCCTAAGATGCCAAAGTCTTAGAAGAGGCAATACCACCCTTCCTTCCTTCAGAATCATTCTAAAATGCAAATTTTTGCATCAGTAGGCAGTGGCACCAGAAGCCAAAACAAACTATGAATGTTATACATAGTATTCCTCAACCTCTTCTTCTTTTTTCCAACAGTGGGTACTGCTCAGAGGATCAGGACCATCAGTCTGAAGTTCCATCCACATTGCTTAAAATGTTGACCTTACTGAATTCACTTAGCTATTCATCAAATAGTGATTTTCAGGTGGATAAGGTAACATAAAGGTCATTTGATTACTTGTGATAATGGCAAGACTAAACACTCTTACTTTTGGAAATTATTAATCATTATTAATCATTAATCACTTTTGGAAATTATTAATCATATTAATCTTGCAGTGGCAAGACAAATGGAAAGCAAAGACAATATTGATTTATGCAGTACCCTATCTTTGACTGCTAATCTAAGATTATGATCAGCACTTGTGCCATCACCATCACTATACATACCTTTCAAAGGTGTGTAAAAGGCCAAAAAGGAAACAAAAAGACCAAAACACTCCGCAGCAATCAACACCCAAATAAGCAGAGATTAACAGCAAGATTAATACTACCCAAGGAGACAAGAAGTAAACAAAAGCTCAAAGAACTACCAACTCAGATAAACAGCCTAATCAAGGAACCACCAACCACCAAGCACACTCCACCAATACTGACAGGGCAAGCACTAGTATATAAACAGAGAGCAAACCCCATTCCCTTCTAGCGCTGATGATGTTACCTAGTTAGGTAATGAAACATATGCAAGAAAACAACCAAGCTCAGAGAGCGCCAAGGACTCCATATCACCATTATTCTTATTCAGGTTTCAAACAACTTCTATATTGGCCAAATCAAGAGTTATTTCCCTTTAACGGAATCCTCAGGGATTAAACTTTGTACTAAAGATATACTTTGAGCATTGTTTGAAAGAGATATGGCAAAGTATGAGTACAGCACCTCCTTGAAGCCATAACCTTTTTTTATGGCTTCCAGATGAGTTTGCCACAGGATGCTGCTGTATCAATGAATGGCATAACAGACATGGCTATTTTCATACATCAACTACTCAAAGAGACACATCTGCTTTCCAGATTACCTGGGAATCTAAAAAAGATACAACTGTTTTAAAAATGCAAGTGCTCTTCCACTTGTTTCAAAACATTTTTTTCTGAAATAAATACTGTATATGCTACTTTCCTTTAGATTCAGGAGGATAAAAATAGTAAAAAAAATATTCAGTTTAATTTGTGGATTGATTCATGTATGCAGGCACAGAGAAAGGTTTATCATCAATCATCATCATCAATCATCATCATCATCATCATCATCTGCTTGGGATTCTAAGAATAGAATGGGAAAATATTCAACAAGTCCTGCAAAGCTGTAACAGTCATCAAGAACAGAACTTTACAAGGACAGGACAGTCTGACCCCAAAACATTTTGCATATCACTACATTATGCATGAATTTTGGGACCTCATTTGACTGGTCACATAACCAGCTAAACAGATATAGTTTAGAGACAGCTCAGCTAACAAAATCACATTGCCCTAAGTACTCAAATACACATGTATTTGTAGAGCATTTTGCTGTTTTTATAAATCAATAAAACTTAAATAATCAACATAAAGGTTTTAAGTAAACTTTATTTCAGTAAATTTAAATGGAGTCTTTGTTTGGAACTCTTTAGTCTTTTAAGAAACGAATCTCAGGAAATTTCAAATCCGGGAAATCATGCATCCAGCAGTAAAAGACTTGCATTTAAACTGAGAAAACATGCTGCTGGCATTTTTCTATGGGCATATTCACTTGTATATTGTATGTCTAAATTGCAAATGTTAACTGTAAATGTGTATTAATACATATTCATGCTTTAAGTGGGAAAATGCATTTAAAGAAAATTCATATTTAAAATAATATGAGTGGTATTATAAGTGGCATAATATGAGTGGTAATATGAGATATAATTTTCATGAATGCTGGATACTAATGAAATGATTTCCAGATAATGCTGCATGAGACAGACATCAGCAAATATTAGTTGTTTTGTATAGCATTATATGGAAGTCATTTCACCAATTCATTTAGGATTTTTTAAGAAGATTAGTTTGCCATTAACAATATGAATGACAATAATATTCCTGTCTCTTAGAAAACATTATATACTTAATTAAGCAATAGAAAACAAAACATTAGTGATAAAATAATACGGCAGTTAATGATAATAAAATAATTGGCAAATAATTACTTGAACACAGTTGGCATTGACAAAATCACCACCAGTCAATTACAAAAGGCAGCTTTATCTAGAATAGCTTACATCCTGCAATGAAACCTTTAAAACCATCAAACAACATCTGCCTATCCAGGTGAATAACAATGCCAAATCCATTCTAAACATCTAGCCCACTATGCAATTAACTATAATAATAAAAGAAGACACTGTGGATAATTTGTGGCATAATTTGTAACTAGTGAATAGTAGAATAGAAGACAAAGAATTGGAAAAGATCAGAAAGTATCAAGATTTGAAAATCAAAGTTGAAACATTATCACATAAACCAGCCATGGTAGTGGTCTCAGTGGTTATTACCATATTGGGTGCCATACCAAAAATTCTTGGAGAGCACATAAAAAAATCTGCACATTGACAAAATTTCCATGTGTCAATTACAAAAGGCCACTCTGATTGGATTCACACATATACTACGCTGATCCTACAACATCCTAGGTTCTTGAGTTATAGCTTGAAACTTATGAAGGCCAACATCAGCTAAAGAACTGGTAGCTGTGTTTTCACATTATAGCGAACATAGTAATAATAATGAAAAAAGGAATATAAAAATCATTTTTCAAGTTGATACAAATGAAAGTCATGCACCAAATGTGAACAAAAATAAAACAATTTAAAAAGTTCTTGTACTTTGTATATAAGCTAAGTTGATAAAACGATTTCAATATTAATTAATTAGCCAATGTTTATATTCTGCTTATCTCCAATATATAGAATGGCTAATATCCAAATAATAAAACTCACAAAATAATCATAATAACGAAACTCATAAAATAGAATTAAGATAATAATTAAAACAAAAAACAATGTGATATCCAAGGGTTACAAGCAATCCATGATAGAGCTCTAAATCTCCAAATGCTACATGTTTTTTCCCCCCGAAGTACCTTCATTAACCTTGTAAAAATGTTATTTAGCACCATTTTGAAATACTCCTTCCTGCTTAATGCCATAAATATATATATCAAATATATATACTGCTCACAAAAATAAAGGGAACATTTTACCATGGAACTGAAGGGATTTGCGTTCCCTTTATTTTTGTGAGCAGTATATATATATATCAAAAAGGAATTAAACAGGTAAAGTAATATACATGTAGAAACATCATTATGGCAGCACTTTTAGAATTAATGATGTTTTGGTACAGAAAAGTGTAAGAGGTAAAGAAAAATGCATTTGTATTTGTTTCAATAATCTGAAATTCATAATCTCTTCTGAATTTTGAGTTAAAGTAACTGAAAATAATGTTCCTTGTTTTGCTGCTAAATATAAAATAGTATTACACTGACTATGGCTGCAATGAAAATGGAAGAGGAGATAGAATTGGTCAACAATCAATTTACTGGTCAATTTATTTGGAGTCCAATGAGTTTTACTTTATTATTTTATTTTATTTATTCAATTTCTATAGCTGCCCTTCTCAAACAATGACTCTGGATGGCTTATAATTCAGAAAATATATTAAAATTAAAATTTTAAAAATATTTTAAAACAATAAAAAAAATCCAAAATAAAAATATATAGCAGCTGAGATACCTGGCCAGTTAACAATAACACCAGGAAATGCAGCCCCTGACACATTCAGGACTCCAGGGTTGGGAACAGAGCCAGATATTTAGGACCTTAAAAAAGGCTTATAGGGTTGGGGCCATTCTAATGTCCGATGGGAGGATATTCCACAGCAGGGGCCACCACAGAAAAATATCATCTTCTATTCTCTGCCAGTCAACACTCTTTGGCTGATGGAATCTGCAGCATGTCCATTCTGCTAGACCAAGTTAGAGGAGTATAGATTCTTGGAAAAAAGATGATTCCTCCAGGTAATCCATTCCTAAGCCATGTAGGTTAAAAGTTAAAGGTTCTGGCCAGGACTTTAACAAAAGTAAGTTTGAAATCCTATTGTTAACATATCTCATAGGACAGCATTCCATAAAGAAGATCCCATGATAAGACACTTTCTCCAATCACCAATACTCTTAATGTCCAAAGATATGTATTCATTAAATTCCAGTGTGAACATTAAATCTCATAAGTTCTGATATCAGTTAACAAACAAAAATCTTTTTGTGCATATGAAGTTTCTACTGATGACAAGCAAGTAAAGACCGTTCTCTTCAGTGATCACTGGTATGATTTCAGAAAACTAAGAACTACTCACTTTGCCTCATACCATCATTTCTATGTGGTAACTTATTGCCTGAGTAAGTGACTCTTGATAAAGACCTATGGTAAAGACCTTAAGACTCCATTTATTTTGGACCTCAGTCATCTTCAATTAGCCGCAATGGTGCCAAAATGAAGGAATGGGTATCATGGTGTCACAATACCCTTTCCATACTTGCATCACAATTTGCATGCAAGTGGATAAATGTCAAGTCTTTTGCCACTTGACCTCCTTACATGCCCATCTATAAATGGCCCAATTTAGAAACAACACACACTATTAATTGTGACTGGAAAGCAACTGGCAAACCAATTACATTTCATGAACTGGAGAGATGTGTATTTTTAAACTAGCTGCTGTGTGTTATATTAAGGAAAGTAAGCAGAGCTGCACATAAACCAGGATATATGGGGTGGTTGGCATTTGTAGAAGTGTACAGAGATAGCCTTGGAAAAAATAAGGGGCAGTAATTAACCCTTCCCCCAATAAAGAAAGGAATAAAGAAGAAACTCAAGATTGGCCCACTTTGACTCTGTTGAGCATAAGAGGAAAGGAACAAGAAAATCTACCAAGCTTTCAAAATTCTGTTTTTATAGCTACTATCCATAAAGTAGAGTTCTAGTATTTTTTGTAATGTCTGTTTCCTGACCTGGTTATTTCAAAGGGCTAACATTACCAGTGCCAAACTATGAGAATATAAATTTGTAATGAAAATCTTAACCTTGACAGGCTGGTACAGGTACATCCCATGCATAGTATCCAAGGGAAGATTTTCTACACACAGCGGTGCTTTTTCCAACGAGACGGAATCCTCGGTCACAAGCCCAGCGAACCACACTGTTCAGCTGCCCTCCTGTCTGGCTTACAATGAAACCGTGAGGAGGCGACTCTGGAGTACTGCAGTAAAGAGCTTGAAAAACGGAACAAAAGAAACAATGCATGAATTTCTCCCTCCTATGATGTTAATTATTGTACTGTTTAATAGCAGGCAGGTGTCTGCAGGAATTATATGTGTGATTGCTTTTTAGCAATGATGCTACAAACAGTGAGAAAATAAAACTGCCTGTTTACCCTAACAGAGAAAAATAATTCCATTTGTCTTGGGTTCATATTATAGTGGATGTTTTCCCTGCCATCATTTCTCTTCTAGGAAAATGGGAATCATGTGGGAATGTATGAAAAGACAGATGTGCAGATAGAGAGATCTACATAGTTAAACTAAATTTCCAATCCACCAACAGGATATTGCAACTTCCAGTATTGTTATACCCATGTGTAAAAGGATCACTTAGAAATGCAATTTTACTTATACTGTGTTAACTAGCATCTGTTTAATTTTTCCATTTGAAGTTTCTACAAATTTGTAACTGATACTTGTTTTAATGTGAATTCAAGGTAATTTAATATTAGGCAGAAAGAGCAAGAAAGATGACATATATGCTGGCTGAATAAAAGGAATGTGAATGCTTTTGTCAGAAAGGGGAGGACAGAGAGCCACAAAACATATTATGTGGAATATAGAAATGACTTGTTAATTTTCTATAAATGTACATCTCTCTTTCTCTCTCTCTGTCTCCCCCCCCCAGTGGAGTTTTGCATAGCAGACTGTCTTTCACGTCCATATCATCTTGTAAGGAGGCTACTGATGATAAAAAATGAAGGAAAACCAGCTTATAATTTAAAGGTTTTTAGGATAATTCAGAAATGAACTCTGGTATACAGAAACCAGCATTCTAGTGGTAAATTATCTTTGTCTGTGTTCACTGCTTAAAAGCAGCATGCTTGAATCTCTCTCTCTCTCTCTCTCTCTCCCTCCCTCCCGCCCTCTGTGTCTCTGTGTCTCTGTCTCTGTGTCTTTGTCTCTGTGTCTGTCTGTCTTCCAAGAAATTTAATAAAGTACTGCCCAGATCATACTTTGTAGGAATAATTGAAATTGTTCCACTTCAAAATTGCTACCTAAATCTTGTCTAAAGTGAAATTCAAGATAAAGGTGTGGGTTCTTATTGGGGTGAAACCAAAATCTAAAGAAATCTAAACAGAACTACATGCTTCATGGTTGCCCACATTCCTAAACATGAATGAGTAAAAGTTTAAATGTTTAAAAGAAAGTATATTAAAAGAAAGCTGCTATGATTAAGATAATGTTGTCCTTGAAGGCAGACAAATTATTCTGAGGTCATTTGATAGTTGGCTACTTTGAACTAAAGAAAGAAAGAAAGAAAGAAAGAAAGAAAGAAAGAAAGAAAGAAAGAAAGAAAGAAAGAAAGAAAGAAAGAAAGAAAGAAAGAAAGAAAGAAAGAAAGAAAGAAAGAAAGAAAGAAAGAAAGAAAGAATCATATTTACTAATTAGATATTATATTGACAATTGAGCTGAACTTGCATTTAGTTGGATTTTAAAATCACATCTTCCAAGATCTTATTTCCCCCTTCTCTAAATAGACTTAATCCAGCTTCCATTTCTCCTCCCTCCCAACCTGCTGGTTGTTCATCTTATTGACTCTTTTGAAGTAGAGTGAAAAAAAGGGGAAAGGGTGACTTACCTATGTATCTTATCCTAAAACCCTTTTTGTTGGTACCATGGTCTGCTGACCATCGGAGAAATACTTCATGGCCCATGCTTGTTATATTGAGAGAGGAGGTATAATCTCCACTTAAGGAGATTAGCAACGGGCTGTGACTATTTGGTCCTTGATCCCAGGGAACACATATGAGGAAAAACGAAAGACCAAAATTAGAGAAATGTTAAATGTTTTTCTTGGATAAATAATCATTTGAATAATGCAATATATTACAACCATCTGTTCATAGCATAAGTGAAAATGTTCATTAATTGTATGCAACAATCACACTGTGTTATTTCTGATAACATTCTGATGCATAATGTAATATTACTTGCTAAAACAACAATGACACATTCAAAGTTGAATATCCTTTAGTTACCATCAAACACCTCAAGTATATCAAATTCTTTTTCGGTTTGGAAGAATTCAAAGTAAAGGCTGATATTGTAACCCTTTTCCACTGTAATGGTCCAAGCACACATTTGAAGGTTTGGATAGCTATCTGGGTAGCCTGGGCTCAGGATTACTCCAGTTGAATCAAGGCGCAATTCATTTGCAGGACATAATACTGCAAGAGAGAGAGACAGACAGAGAGAGAGACAGAGAAATAAAGAAAAGAAAGAAAAGAGAGAAAAGAGAAAAGTTATAAACAACTGAGTAACTGGAAAGATATAGTATATTTGGGGTATTTTCAGCTAGGACATCAAACTCTTCATCCCAGATACATCAAAACATGGATAAATATCTGGAAATTGTACAGAACACGCGTATTCAGATTCTTGTGTTTGATATGTTCCCCTTTTTGTATTTTAGATATTCTTTTCTGAAATGATGCATATTTATCCTAGTATATCTGATTATGTATCAAATAAAGAGAAGCTAAACTCTTCCAAATATTTGTCACTTCATACAGAACAGGGATGCAACATCCATTGACTATCAACATCCTTTGTGGGTCTGTAAATCTACACTTTGGGGAAATCAAGGAGAAAAGTTGGTGTCTTAAGAAAACATTTTACTCCTTAGTTCTTGCATTTGCCTCCCCTGATAAAATGGATCCTGGCCCTGGTCACTTTTTGAGTCTGAACTTGATACTGAACTGACATGGTTAAAGTAAATTCTTTCAGTGAAAAGTTCTTGGTGCTCTCTGAGCTTGGTTGTTTTCTTGCAGACGTTTCATTACTTAAAGTAGATAATATTGTCAGTGCTAGTCATCTTTCAATCTCTTAAAAGACTTGAAAAAGAAAGGGTTTCCCCCCCAATATGGATAGATTAGTTAACTACATAAAGGATTTGGTATATACTGTAGATGATTTCTTGTCCTTCTCCACCTCATAGAAGGTGGCTATGTGGAGACACTAAGATGCTCAGTGCTTATCATACTATTGGGGCTGTGCAAAGGACATTCAGAAGAGTGCAAGAATTAACTTTTGTTGAATCATTAAAGCAGGTGTGTAGTTTATCAGTTCCTAGAATCTCTCTACCCATATATGTAAATTTCAAGCTTTAATTAACTGATTTTAGGTGCTCCTAGCTCCAGAATGACTCTGTTCACAGTACAGGTAATTCTTGACTTACAAAAGTTCATTTAGATACCGTTTGAAATTACAATTGCACTGGAAGAAGTGACTTATGATCATTTTTCACACCACTGCAGCATCTCCATGGTCATGTGATCAAGATGCAGATACTTGGCAACTGACTCATATTTATGACAATTGCAGTATCACTAGACCTTGGAGAAGCCATATTCACTTAACAACCAGGTTACTAACTTAACTGTGGCAAAGAAAGTTGTAAAATGGGGCAAAACTCACTTAACAACTATCACTTAGTAACAGAAATTTTGGGCTCAATTTTGGTCATAAGCCAAGGACCACCTGTATAAGAAACAGATTTAAAAAATGAATAATCTACATAGAAAATGGTCAACTTGATAGCATATCCTGGGACAATCAGGGCCTTAATATCCTCCAGAACATTGTCAAGGTGAGAGCCATATGGATCTCAGAAGAAAACTCATTTCAGAAGCCAGGCACCATAAGGCTTAACTAAACTTCCATAAATTTAATAGAATTTCCTTCCAGCTGAGCAAGTTGATCATTGATCAACTGAGCGGCTTGCCTGCTCTTTTTGTCTCTCTACTTAGCATATGCTTAGCATGCTTTGTGTGTGAAAATAAATGGAGCTATTTCCAAGTCTGCCAAACAGGATTTTATTTCTTTTCTCTGGTATTGTTTTCTTTTCTCATTTCTAGACATGCCTGCATAATTTGAAGAGAAAAAGAAAAGGATTCTCTGCCCCAGAAGTTATGTGTTGCTCTTTGTAAAATGATGTGCTATTCAAATATTTCAGTGGCATATCTTATTTTTATCCTTTGGGAATATAATAATAGAACCTTGCTAAATAAATGGATTAATAAACAATTCCTAGATAATGGGTATTTTTTTTTAAAAAAAAAGAAGTTAAGAGAATGTGCATATTTTTCATAAGATGCCTAGCCATTTAATAGTAAAGCTATTCACAACTAAACAGTTTTTTTAACTTAAACATTTGACAATTTGAACATAATTCCCTTCAGTGTTTAATTGAATATTAGTCCTAATACAGGTAGAGTATTACCTGTTTTTCTACTATCATCAATATGGTAACTGAAGAAAAAAAAACCCTATGTCAACTCTAGATTGAAAATCTATTAGCACCATGTGTTTGGTGAAATATGTAGATGAATTTAAATAATACTTGACTCTCTCTCTCTCTCTTGAAGAAATTATTTTTTGTGTTCTATAATGCTTCTGTTCTGCAATAGAGAAAGATGATGGGATCAGCAGTTTCTGGGCTGAGGGTGGAATAAAGATTTAAAAAAAGTCAAATTGGTGGTCAACTCATGCATAATTGAAGCCCATTATCATATATGTTTCTGATGCTGATACATATAGTTGTGATCAATGGTAAAAGGTACTCCACAATGGCTATAAACTGGACTATGAAACCTATGAGATGTTCCCCCCATAGACAGGAACTGCTTCAATTATTGTTGTAAGGCAAAATTCACAACAAGCTGAATTGATCTTTAATGGCAACAGGTAGAAGAATCCATAAAGCAAATTATTTATATTCACCAATATATGTAAAATATACTAGGTCTAGTCTAGTATGAGGGCATAAATGGACGGGTATATTTAAAACACACCACCATGAACTGTAATTTCCAAGGTGTCTGACTTTTTTCTTTGTCTTGTGTTTGCAGTGTAGTAGGCCAAAGGTATATAAGCTCTGGTTCTGCTTTTGATGAGGGCTAATCAACTTTGCTGGCAATCCAGGATACACCATTTAAGGTTTGCATCCAAATAAAATTATGTTGTATCTTCAGAGTGATTTGATTGCTTTAGACGAGCCAGACACAATACTACCTTCTTCAGTATTTTTTTTTACCTCTCTACATATATTTTATGAAAGACTAAAATGAGAACAAAATAGCATCTATTCTTTTATTAGAGATTTAGACACTGATTATGACTTATCTTTAATTGAGTTGCTATGTGTGGAGTCTTAGCAATATTTCTAATAAAAGGAATAGTAATTTCCAGATTTCAGCAGTTTCAATTAAAGGTATTAAGAATGATGAATACCTATGAGTTCGAGAACCTTATGCATTAAGTGACAATAGACTAAGTGTGTATTCTAACTTATCATTTAATAAAAAATTGAAATTTTCTCTGTATCTTTTGAATTTAATAAAATACATTTAATAAAAAGATATCAGAAAATGAATGGTTAGGAAACTTCTGATCTGTTCATAGATACCTTACGTCTGACCCTAAGTATTACATGACTTGAGTTTCCTTAAATTGCTTTACTGAAAAATAACCAGTATTTTTAATGGAAACATGCAAGTTCCTTGCTTTTCCACTCAGGGATGGGATGGGATGATAGAACATGAGCAATTGCAATCCCTTGGTGGATCATTCATTTGTTCATTCGTTCGTTCGTTCGTTCATTCATTAATTGAAGTGATGCACTGCTTATCCTTTTCAAAGGAAAAATACAAATTGTCTCAAGAAGTTTTGGAAAGTTTTTGCTAAATAGTATCTTCCCCTCCCACAAATGTCTGGGTATTGCTTTGATTGAAATGGGTCAAGTGGCATTTGAAATAAACAAGTTATCAAAAGTATGTATTATCAAATGAATAGAATTTCATGCTCTGGAAAGAAAAGAAGATTATATTATTTGTACCATAAAAACTAAAGGACAACTGGTGTCAACCTAGAACATCCTGATCTGAATTTAATTTGCTGTTAGTTTGCATAGCTGTGCTATTTTTCCTTAAACATAGTTCCTCCATTTGTGGATATTCATTATTTACTATTTGTTAGACTTATAGCCAGACTTTATTTCTGGAAGTCAAGTTGGTTACTCCCTCCTCCAATTTGAATCCATCACAACTATGAGAAAAGAGTTTGGCTGAAAAATAAGGACTGTCCCTAAGTCATTCAGTGAGCTTTCATATCTGCATATGAAGTTCAATCATGGATCTTTCTAATCCTAGTCTAACATCTTAGCCACCTGATCACTCAATTGTTTAGTCACTTCTGACTCCTCATGATTTAATGGACACTATTCACCAGGACTGTCTGTCAGCTACTTTGAAGTCTTGTAAGTTTGTGCTTTGACATCAGTAATTATAGCCAGCCATTTCATCTTTTGTCAGATTCTTTCTTGATTGCCTTCAAATTTTTCAAACAGATTCTTAAAAGTTTCTTCTTCTACAGTATTTATCTAATATTTAAGCTTTATCTTTATTATTAGTGTTCCAGTGAACAAGTTGATTTTACTGGGTCTGGTATTTCATGATTTGCTCTTTTTGATTCTCTCCAGAAACACACGTTTTATCATTTTCATCATTTACTGTTTCTGATGGTCCAGTTTTAACAGCCATATATTATGATTGAGAAGACCCTGGCTGCAATACCACTCGTGTTCTCTTACCCATAGCATAGAGTAAGAGAAAGGAAAGGAAATAAGAAGACAATGCACACAAAACACTTTTGAATAAATGCTTTCAGGAATGGTTCACATTTGCTCTCTGGATATTCCTCACCCGGTTATTTATGGTTGCTAACTAAATAGTTCATGCAAGACATCAAAGTAAGCAAATATATACTAAAACAGACTTCTATTTTTTTTTAAAAAAAGAGTTTAAAACCTTGGCAAGAAGGTGGTGTGCCATCCATCTGCAATCTCTCTCCTAGTCGACAAGTCAGAATCTCATTACCAACTAATGTAAAACCTGGTAGACACTGGTACCTTATTATGTCCCCTGTGTAATAAAAAGGAGGAAAAGAGAAAAGACTGTAGTTAAAGACCAATTAATGGGGACTCTTCAGTGTTGACAATACCATTGATTAACGAAGCACCTTTCTCACTATAGATAATGTGAAAATGACCACTAGCACAAATAGGTTCCATTAGACAGAGGAAATGATGTGGCAAATAAGCTACCTAATTTGTCATTTCATGCCAGCTATGCTATTAGTGTGACTCACACATTTACATGAGTGTGACTTTGTGGAGTTGAAAAGCTTTATATTTTGTTGTAGTTATTTCAGTAATTAAAAAAGGGCATCTAGTTCTCTTATTTCTATTGCTAGTTTCAGCTATTATATATCTATAATAGCCATCAGGTTGGTGTTGACTCTTCATAATCACATATATAGTTTTTTTTCCCCATGATAGTCTGGTAGATAAGTAGATTACCAAAAGTCAGGCTCCAAAGGTAATTTATTACATTATATTTCTTAGTTGGTGATTATTTTTTCTAGATATTTCCTTATTCATTTGACACTTGAACTTTGAACATTTCTAAGTACAGTAACTTTCCCTGGAATCAATCAATCAATCAATCAATCAATCAATCAATCAATCAAACTGTCTGTCTCTCTGTATCTATCTATCTATCTATCTATCTATCTATCTATCTATCAATCATCTATCTATCTATCTATCTATCTATCTATCTGTCTGTCTGTCTATCTATCTATCTATCTATCTATCTATCTATCTATCTATCTAGTCTTTCAATGCACTTTATATATGTTAATAAATACATTTTATAATTGAAACTGAAGGAACTAAATACATGAACTGTTCTATAGAAGTTACTGTTAATTACTATGCATTAATTGATAGGATAATGCAATGCATTAGAAAGGCACATAGCAGAACATGTTATTGAGTGAAACATCCCTCTTTAAGGCATTTAAGCAGCACATCCTCTGGAAATCTATAAATGCTCTGCACAACTGTGCTTGCATAGCACCTTTGCTTCCTTGCTTTGAACAGAAATGTTCTCTATGCATACAAAAGCATGCACAGAGAATCAAGGAAACATTTTTTGAAGAATTTACTCAAGCATTTAAATGTTCCAGAGTACATAGCTACTTTCATGCTTCTAGGGAAGCTGTTTCACCTATCATTTGAAAAAAAAACAACAACCTTGTTTTAATTCTTTGCAGAGCTATGGTACTTGGCAGTATTTAGCAATATTCTATTTTCCACACATTTGAATATTTCCCTGTGAATTCTACTTTAGCTTCAACACCTTTAAAAAGAACACAATCTGAAATGGCTGCATACATAAGCGGCAGATTCATTTCCTTTACAGCAAGTGAACATCTGATTGAACAAGCAAACTGATTTTTAAGGAAAATGGTCTTGAGCATTTAGCTAGGTAATAGACATCAAATTGCTTCGGGCTGTATATGTCTGTCTTCTCCATCTGCACATCTTGCTGTCTAGGATCATAGCCAAACCCTGTTGGTCAGATGAAAAGCGCCACAGAGTGCAAAAGGTTTTACAACAGCAGTCAACTGAAGTATCTCAGTGGAACCATACAGATATAAAGTACGGCTATGGTAAAAATAGAAAAGGGCTCTTTGGATATAGCTGGAATGTCTGGAGAATTTCAGAATAGGATGTCTTGTTGGAGTTTTGTTACTGCTAAAATTAGCGCTGAATAGCTGAAATTACTTCAAGGTGTGTGAACAATTTAAAAATAGAAAATACATTTAAGTATTAAGCACTCTTGATTTGGGAAAGAAAAATATGATTGTCTTTCTTTCCCATCCATCCATCCATCCATCCATCCATCCATCTATCTATCTATCTATCTATCTATCTATTCATCCATCTAGCTATCTATCATTGTTCTTGAATTACAACCATTAGTTTAGCAACCGTTTGAAATTACAATGGGACTGAAAAAAACGACATGATTGTTTTTCATACAGGGTGAATAATAATTGATGATTTTAAAAAAATCAAAAAATGGATTTTTGTGATTTAAATCAGATTTGTTTAATTAAATCAGATTTTTCTGATTTTTATCAAATTTATTTTAATAAAATGCTTTTGGAGTAAAAATATATCTAAATATAGTTTTCTATTTAAGATACATTAATAATTTAGTTTATTCAGCATGAAATGTAACTTAGTTATATAGCATGAAGCTGTATATTCTGCAATATTTATATGTTTGGTAAAGTCATTCAATGAATCCAAGCTCTGCATTGATGCATTCACACAATTTCACAGTAACCATGAGATAAATCATAAAACAAAGTTCAGGAAGATTCCTTTATCTCATTGTTTTACAAATCTATGTATACTATAAACTGTATGATTGTTTGAAGAGAAATGCATCTGTACCAGGTTAACCTATTAACCTAAAATCGGTTCTGATATCGCTGTTTTACTAACCTGACAGCTTATTATTCTAAATAGGAAACCTTCCTTTTCTTTGCAAATAATAATGTTAAATATTCTAATTACTAGCAAGAAGTCCTTAAATTTAAAGAGCACCTGCCATTTCAGATCCATCATGGCATCCACCTCACTGGCTGCCCGCCAAGTCCCTCACCTTGTTGTGTCATTGCTGCATCACCAGCCATCCCATTAAAGTGAATGGGACAGTCGGTGAGTCAACAGCGGGTCAGAGCAGGAGCCGCTGTGGGACAGAGATGACAGTTGCTCTTTAAAAAATACGATTTAAACCGAGTTGATTTAAATCAAGCCTTTTTACTAGTGATTTAAATCATGATTTAAATCGTGATTTAAATTGACTTGATTTAAATCAAATCCACCCTATTTTCACATTTATGACCTTTCTAGCACCCCCATGGTCACATGATCAAAATTCAGATGCTTGGCAAATGGCCTGTATTTATGAAGGTTGCAATGTCCCAGTGTTATATGATCACCTTTTTCTACCTTCTAATAAGTCAGTGGGGAAGCTGGATTCACTTAGCAACTGTGTTTCTAATTTAACAACTGCAGTGATTCACTTAACAACTGCAGCAAAAAAGATTGTAAAATGGGGCAAAACTCACTTAACATCTGTCTTACTTAGTAACAGAAATTCTGGGCTCAGTTGCGGTTGTAAGTCAAGGACTACATCTGTCTGTCTGTCTGTCTGTCTGTCTGTCTGTCTGTCTGTCTGTCTGTCTGTCTGTCTGTCTATCTATCTATCTATCATCTGTCATCTTAACATTTTGAATATCTATGTGGTTATCTTTCATCACACACACACACAATTTTTTATGCTGCCTCATTATGGTGTTGGTAGTTGAGCTATCCCTGGGAGGGACGAGCAAAGAACTTTGGGTGAGTATGTCAAGAGTATATATTCACAAAAGAGTCACCTAAAGCTTGAAGGTCATCATCTCAGCTGTTCAGTTAAAGCAAGATGACACCTATATTGGAGAGCAGTGATATAGGAAGATGCTGGAAGCAGATGATTAATTTAGTGACAACAGCAAAAGCATCAAGTCATATTGCCTGAGGAAAGTTATTACTGGGATAGATTAAGAATCAGTGGAGCTACCTAGAGATAGTCTAAAATAAATATGCATTTAGTTTACATCTGGGCACACATATATAGACACACATACACACAAAAAATGTATATTTAGTATCCATAATTTAAAAGCTAAGATGACCAAAACCAGATCTTTCTGCTAGCCCTTTTTATTACTTCCTTTCCTTCTTCCACTTTAGCCATCCAGTCCATTCTATGCTTACTTGGTTTTTAAGTCTAGTCTATCCACTTAAATTTATTCTGTGTCCCAATTTTGTCAAAATTGACAAACTTATCTTCCATATAATTGGGTATCACTGATTATATGTAAGACGTCATCTGTAGTTGTAAATTATAATTTTTACATACATTTTTGTAGGTTTTGGACATAACAAATACACTGTTATAACAAACACATTGTCTCCATCTTATGCATAGATATGCATCATGCATCACTGGTGACATATTAGGACACAATTTGTCAAATTTTTAAACATTTCCTAATGATGCTGCATTTAGGAATGCATAAATCCCATGAAAATAAATCCAATGAAAATAAATCCAAAACATATAGACAGTTAAATTAACTTAATGTTTATGACTTTACTAATAAATGTTGTTAAATAAAAATGAATCCTTGTAATTATAGGAGATCCTATTTTCCTCACTTAGATATAGCCATATACACATGTCATTTATTTGCACGTATCATAGAAAAACTAAATGTAGGAACTTCCATGTATACGGACACATATGTTAAATATGGTAATTTTTGAAATTAAACAGAAGTTGTCTACATTAATATTAACTTTACCTATTTCAAATTCATCATCTTCAGTCAGAACATCAGCATTTGGTATACTAGGTGGAGGCTGACACACTCGAAGTTGGTATGCTATGAAAGCAGCAGAAACATTCCAATTAACACACCGTTCCAGTTTACATTATAACAATAAGCACATTGAAAGTGAAAAAAAATAGATACAAGAAATTACAGGGAAGTTAGCTTGCATCTAATACTGTACAGAAGTCTTTGACAAATTATTAGGTTTATAAGGTTTTACGGTTTTGTAGGGAACATACACATCTATTTCATAACATTTATGATGCTTGTTGGTATATTTAACATATATTAGTAAAATATGTGCTAGATAGCAGTCCCGTTGATTAGATTCACAACTGTTAGTCTGAACAAATTTATGTTCCAAATATGTGCTGCTTAAAGGCTACATCAAACTTGGACCTCCATACTGCATTCCATATTATACCATCCATTATTTATTAAAAAGCTCAGTGTTTTTTATAAAAAGTACTATATTATATATTTTGTAATGAACAAAAGATGGAATAAGATGACCTTCAAAGTAATGTCCTCCTTCCCCTTGCTTCCTTCTACTCTTAATGTATGTTATAGAAATCAATTTATCATTATTATGGTTCATTCCACATGTTTAGACTGGTTTTGGCATTTTTATCCACCTACTGAGTCCTTCCCAAGGACTTGATATGTTGCTGTTTGATGGTGTTAAAGGTATCATCACAAAACGTAAGCTATTCCAAGTAAAGCTGCCTTTTACAATTGATTGATGGGGATTTTCTCAGTGCCAGTGGATTATTTCAGGTACAAAGTTTGCCCTGCTCTGTAATTGGATTCTCATTCTACCTCTTGGCCTTCTTATAAATCCTCATGTTTACTGTCATGCAATTATTACTGCCAAGCAGAAATCATTTACCATTCTAACTAGGAATACGTCCTTTGTGTTTATTATTTTAAAAAAGAAAAGAATACACATGCACACACATCCTTTAGGTGTGTGACACTAACCATGGTAACTAAGGACGAAGAAGCCGCTTGTTGTAAAATCACTGTGGAACTTTATTAGAACCTGATTTGAGGTGCTGTAAACAGATTCCAATGCAGTGTTGCCACTAAATTGACCAATTTGAGGTGAATTTTGCTCAGGTCCATCCCTAGAAGAAAGAGAAAGAGAAAGAGAAAGAGAAAGAGAAAGAGAAAGAGAAAGAGAAAGAAAGAAAGAAAGAAAGAAAGAAAGAAAGAAAGAAAGAAATCTCACAGTTAAATAAATTTCCATTTGCTTTAAGTAAACATTCAAGGCACATCATAAATAAAATGAAAGCGAGAAAACAAGTAATTCTATCTACTAATTCAGAAGAGACTAAATTCATAGACAGCATCTATTTGTCTTTACTTTTCTTTTTCATTACAATGGAACTTGAGCTGAAATGTACAGATGTTCATCAACAGATGTGCAGAGATAGTTCCTGGAATCCAAATAAATAAAACTAATAAATCATCGTACAGGGCAAACAGCCTAGACTGAACACACCATTGTTTGCATTATTTAAAATAAAGTCCCACTCCATTATTTTTGTTTATACCTATTTCTGTTAACCCTGACATACTGTCCTTGTAGGAATAATTATTTACTAATTTTGCTCTGGCTACTGTATCTGGAAGTTTTGAGGATGGTAAATATAATATTTTCCCCTTTGTTTCAAATGCGGGATTTATAGTAGTTTGAACTTTTCATACTCTTTTCCATTATGTGATATGATACATGTTATTTTACACACACACACACTGATATAGCACATACTAGAATTCATGAGATTCTTTCTAATATATTTTATAGATGTTTAAAATTCTGAAAATTATGTTTATATAGTTGCTAGACACTTTTTTATGTGAAAATGGAATGCACTGAAATACACTAAATGCACTAAAATGTTAATTTTTTAATGAAAATAATATGTCTTTTATAATTATGAATCTATAATATATTGCAATTTTTTATCAATTTAATAATGAATATAAAGTTTATCTGTTTATGCTTGGAAAGTTCTTCTCCCTTGCTGAATTAATTTCCTTAAAAATAGAATAAAGGACAAAGGCTTTCATCAGTTACTACTTGTTTGATATGGAAAAAACAAGCAGATGCAGCTAATCTAGTCTTCTCCCCTCCCCTCCCCTATCCTAGCCTCTCTTTTCAAATGTGCTTTTAAAAATATGAAAACAAACATTATTTTGCTTTAAATCCTGCTGGGACAATTGGTTTCAAATAAAAAAAATATGTAAAATAAAATGTGTTGGGTGGCATCACTAGTATTAGTTTTCCCAGTGGCCAGTCAAATAATTATGGAAAAGTCCAAAAGAAACTGTTCAAAGACGTCTACCATTAATCCGGCTATCTTTTCAAAGCCATCTAAACCAATGGCAATTTGAATATGTTTTATTGAATTTCAGAAATTGGTTATGCCTGTTAATTTACATAAATCTTACTTGTTGTTTTTTGCAATATTAACATATTTACGAACATAAGTTTGTTCTGTGTTTTTTTGGTTTAGTAATCATTGTGTAAATATTTGTTTACCATTTAAAATAAATATTTTGTATGGATTTTAATAATAAAGCTGCACTGCAAGATATAATAGAATTAGAAAAATAGAAAATCAGAACTTTCACATTAAATAACTAGATGTTAATATTCCAATTATTAAAAATCATGATAGATGAGATAGATAGATAGATAGATAGATAGATAGATAGATAGATAGATAGATAGATAGATAGATAGAGATAGATAGATAGATAGATAGATAGATAGATAGATAGATAGATAGATAGATAGATAGATAGATAGATAGATAGATAGATAGATAGATAGATAGATAGATAGATAATGTCTGGACTATTCTTATTTCATATATGTGAAATAAGGAAACATTTGGCATGTTATATTTTAAACTCATTTACACAGCAGAAAAAGAACTCCAATAATTCAGAGAAACAAATATATGTCAGTGATGTATCAACTCTAAATGTGTTTTATCACAAATAAGTAAATTATGTTCCGTGATCATGTATTAATAGGTTTGGTCCTTTGAACATAAATTTACAGAATTCATAATGTAAGTTTTATAAATATGTAATCCCAGAGATAAATTTTTCAAAGACATTGTAGCAGATGTTAACTGTAACCCTAACCCTAACTGCTATAGTGAACAATATTAACATTGTGCTTATGTTAAGTAGTTGGGACAACATTCCTATAGAACACTTAGAATAATAAACCAATATTTAAATCATCAAACATCTGAGCTATTAAATCAATCCAAACAGTAATTTGTATTTAGTAATTTTGCTTGTTCTTATGCATGACTCCATTGCATAATAAAGAAATTATGGTAATTTTTGCTTACCAGACTGTTATAAAATCATATATTGGTTCTGTCTGAAGAACAGTAAAATTGATATAAATGCCATTTCCTGGTGGTACTCTTACTAGCCAAAAGCAGTCTTGAAAATTTGGATATTCATCAGGGTAGCCAGGTGAATATATTGTACCATTCATAGCAGTTATGTTTCCTCCACAAAGAGCTGGAAGGAAGGGGAGGGAAGGAAGGAAGGAAGGAAGTTAAGTATAGTAATTTCATAATGCTTATGCATTTTTAAAAAAAAAAATAATTGGAAAATATATTTTTATTGCTTTAGTATAAAAAGAACAAACCCAAATCACAAATGACCCCAAAACAGACAGCCCCCCCCCCGAAAACAAAACAAAACTGAAAGACATATTATGGATTTTTAGAAACCCTGTTTTTTAAAAAGCTACAATTGTATCTTAACTTCATAAAATATTAAAAAGTTCATTACACTGAAAAATTTTCAACATGAAGAACATCAGAAATTGTTCATCAAGGGAAACAGAACATGTATCATCAATTGAAGGCTGCAATTCTAGAGCCACAAAGTTGTTTCAACTTTGAAGAGTATTTTTTTTAGCTGCACCCAATGCTCAATAAATCGATGTTCTTTTAGTGATATATCTTATATATAATTCAAAAGTACATTCTTATTATTAAACCATTTTGACATTTGACATTTAAACCAAAAAGTGGAAAGAAAAAAAAACTCTGCAAAATGGTAAGTACTAGCAGCACATTTAATTATTTTTTATATTGTCCATCTCCCTTATAAGGTGACTCTGGGTGGCTTATAAGTTACAAAACAAATTAAAACAATTAAAATATTAAAACATTAAAAGTACATAGATTAAGATTTTAAAACCACATTGAAACCAGAGCTAAGATAGGATGGGGATGAGGTCTTACCCCTTCTTACATGCAATATAATAAAGTTAGAATTCATAAATCTGCTTCCGATGCCAACTTCAGTCTGACTAAAATATGTACTTGGCTTATAGCACATAACAAAATGTAATGTAAAAAGACCAGATTTTGAAATACTTGCTGTTTTCCTTAAACAATTTTCTTCACATTTCCATGGCTATCATTCTGTTACTCAATCGTCTAACTATTGTATAGATCCCTATCCTGCTTTCAATCTGTTGACTATATTAATCTTTTAAAATATTATCTATCTATCTATCTATCTATCTATCTATCTATCTATCTATCTATCTATCTATCTATCTATCTATCTATCTATCTATCTATCTATCTATCTATCTATCTATCTATCTATCTATCTATCTATCTATCTATCTATCTATCTATCTATCTATCTATCTATCTATCTATCTATCTATCTATCTATCTATCTATCTATCTTGAAAACATACCTTCACACCTTGGAAGAGGATGGTTCCAGTTACGACTGATTCCATGAAGGCAAGTAAGGGCTGAATTTCCAATTAAAGTGTATCCAAGAAAACACTCAAATGAAACAGTCTGTCCTACAGTAAAGTCAGTTCCAATAACAAATCCATTTCGGAAGGGACGTGGATCAGGACAACTTTGTAACTGATATGCTGAAAAAAATATGTCAGTGTACCACAGACATTAAAGATATTTCTTGGGAAATAATTTTAAGCACCCCTCCTCCCTCTGTGAGCTTCTCTTTTTAACACATGAACACAGGACTCACACAGTATAACCACAGTATATTCCTAATCCCAACTCTTCATACTGTTTTTTTAAACATTTGAATGATATCATGGAATTGAAGAGATCTTACTAAATCTATGTTTTTCGCCACTGAGGGCTGGGCTTTTTCTCAAGGTGAGATCAGATCTAGCTCCTGCAGGGAACATTCTACACTATATAATACTGTCTAAATAAATGTATTGGTTCTTCTCCTTTTTTCAGTCTCAGCATCTGGAAGCACCTGGCTGACCTTGTTGCAGCTTGAAGTTATGCAGCATTAAACCTGGTTAATATTTTAGCCAGGAAAGCAGCAAGGAATAAGAGAGCTATGCACAAGATGGGAAGTTGAAAGCATTCAGAGAATAACAATGGCAAACCATTTTGGCCATATTATAAAGAAAATGGCATGGTTGCCCATACAGTCAATTTTAACTCCAAGGTATTTAACCTCACCTACTGAAATCATCTATTTTCTTAGTGTATTATGAGAACTGCCAACCTTTAAGAAAAAACAAACTCAGAAAGGGTGTAGTTTCAAAGAAACTCCTTCTTTTGAGTGGAAAGGGTTTTTTGACTATTTCAACCATACCATTGCATAGTTTTCTGTCTTTTTGTAATTATATGCTCCCAAACATAAATTGTGGATCTAATTACCATGAGAAATAATTAGTAACATTGTGGATCACTCCAAGCACAAATGAGACTACAATCTGTTGATAATGCTATAATTTGGGGTAATGGACTTAATGGTCTATTTTATTCCACTCTGTTTTATCCTATGATTCCTTAAATGAAATCATTGCAAAACAAACTAAAAGAGACCATTCTTTATATTTCTACAAAAATATTTTTGCCGTTGTTAGTAATGCGTCTTGTTTTATAACATTATAACAAAAAAGTAGAGGTCATCACACACCTTGATACACAATATGAAATCCTTGTTTGTTCTGAGAATAATCACTGTGAAAATATAAGCTAGTTTCATGTGTTGTACTGAAAAGTGAAGAAGGTAGCTGAGGACCGCTGAGTCTACCAATGGCGGTGCTAACATCAGGTGATCCACTTCTAACTTCCAGGTAATCATGGATTGTCTCCGTTGAAAAGTTCACAAATTGCAAATGCACTCCTGAAAATATTGTTTTAAAAAATCAACAGGATAAAATCTAAAAATTGTAATATTAATACAATAATCCAGGAAGATGCTGCACTATTAGACTAAACTGCCAAACAGAACATCTGTTTGTTTTCAACATTAGAAGAGAATATTTGTAGCTCAGGGTTGAACTGTGGGGTGCTTGGCATGCACCATAAATATATCAAATTAAGCATAAATACATCAAATTAAAACAAAACAAAACAAAACAAAAATTCTCTATTATGAAACAGTGCCATAAGCAATGTTTCATTTTCTTGGAGCTTTGTACCTTCAGAAAAGCTTTACTAACCAAATGTATCTTACTTGGAAAGAACACAAATTGTCCACACACCTTGCCACTGCCATTGCCACTGCCAACACCAGTAGCTCAATAAGCCCCAAATGCATGTGTAGACTCTCTGGCTGGGGAATTCTAGGAGTTGAAGTCCACACATCTTAAACTAGCTAAGGCTGAGAAACTGATCTAAGTTGTCCATTGTATGTCAAATAGTAGTAGATATGTCTTGGGATTAATACAGTAGGGATTTTCTAATGTTCTTATATTCAAAATATTCCAGTTTCTGATACACCCGACTGTTAAGAGAAGATTGCTCTGAAGCCCTGAAAAACTCTTTCAAATGAACACACAAAACATAAAGCTGGATGCTCCAAACAATTTCAGCATAAATTCATTTTCAACCATACACAGTGAGAAAAACTAATTTGGTGAATAAAGTATACTTGCTATGGCTAGTTTTAAATGAGGATCGTATTTAGTAGGGCTTCACTTCTGCTAAATGGTAGTAAATGGAATAAGACATACCAAACCCAACAGGCAGCTTGATGGTCCATGTACAATCCAAACTACTAGGATAATTCCCGGGAAATCCTGGGCTAAGGATCACACCACTGAAGTCTGACATGGAACCACCACATTGTGCTACAAATGAGAGGGGAGGGAAAAGCTCATTTAAACCATGTTCTCTTTTCTTAGCTTCTTAGGCAGTGTTTCTCAACCTTAGCCATTTTCAGATGTGTAGACTTCAGCTTCCAGAATTCTGAGAGTACTGGCTGGGAATTCTTGTAGTTGAAGTCCACACATTTCAAAATGGCCAAGTTTTAGAACACTGTTTTAAAGAAATACACTCAAAAGAATGGGATTTTTCTGTTAGGCAATTATTTGCATTAACCCAGTTTATGCAAGTTCCGAGGACAGAAGCATCTATAGCTCCTTATTCTTTTGATCCAATTTTGGCCTCTTCTGAGCAAGTGTTACATAGGTAGAAAAGGTTGAAGTAGGGTAGGGAGTAGAAAATGAAATAGCATAACAGGGAAAGTGGTTGAAATACTGAACAGGGCACTCCCTACTCTTTATTATGTTATAGACTCCTTTTGTATTTCATAATGTATCAAACTTGAGTCACAACGATGTTTTTATTTATCTTTGGGAAAAAATATAACTATTTGAGCATTCTGTTCACATCATGGAACTTCTTCCATCCCTCCATCAAGACACCATAAAACTCACAAATAAATCTCTTAGTTGTCCCATATCCTTTTTTTTTACTTTATATATGGAAGATATACCTAAGCAAATTGGAATAGGATAATTCCATCTTCTCACTGGTCCAGGCATGCAGGTGATATGTGAATGTCCCTGTAAAATGACAAAACATTTTAAAATTATCAAATTAACAGTCAGTTCTGTGCTGCACTTTATTATGCATAACAATAAAATGGTATCACAATTTGCATCCTGAGATGTAAACCTGGGAGCCAAACTGTCTGACAAGGTCTCATTAGCATGGCCAATTATGGTCTGGTTTGGCTGCAGCAACCTCAGCAAGTCATTGGCACAAAAACCTCCATTGGATGCCTCGTATGCTTCCAAACTCTGGCCCTGTTAGCTAGGGAGCTGATTACATAGACAATGTTGCTTTACTGAATTTTAACATATATGCCAAATGGCAAAGAACACAGGCCAGTGATGGTGCAGAATTGACGGAATATGTAGCATAATCATGTGGATATAATAGCTAATGTTTTCTTATCTATCGTATGGGCAACAGATCAGATGTTCTTCTCTGAATCATGTAAAGCACGACCTTCACATTCCAAACTACATTTTCATTTAGGGATCTGGAAACAACAATCATGCAATGATCTTCATTAAAACAAAACAAAACAAAACCATACACAAACAGACATAGAACTAATGATGATTTAAAGGCTCCAACAAGTAATATCAGGTTTTTGGTGAATACTTTGGACATGCTGATGTCTTTGTGAAAAAGAGAAATGTTTTGAAATAGATGATAGATAGATAGACAGACAGACAGACAGACAGACAGACAGACAGACAGACAGACAGACAGACAGACACAGACAGATTATAGATAGAAATGGAAGAAAGAATATGGAAAAAACTCAAATATAAACATAAAACAATTTTATGTTTTATCTAATTTATCTTCCTTCTGCACCTATAATTTACACACTGTATTCATTCATGTTTCTTTTCCTGAATTACTATTGATATTCCCAAAGATTCAGGACAATAATGTTTTTACTTTCTGGATAGATTACAGAAACAATAATATCTTAGTTAGAAATGAATAATACACCTGAATTTGGAAAAAAAAAAAATCTACCTGGAGAGAATATCCTTGGTCACACTGGAAGGAAACGACATCTCCCACCATGTACCTGTCTCCAATCTTAATTCCACTATTTGGGATCTGAGGTTCAGGGCAGGAGTCCAAACCTATAGCTGTGGAAAGTTAAAAAACTTAACAATGACAAAATAACTTTATCCTTTGTTATGCAGATTCTGACCTAAAAGTAGAACATTAACAAAGTCCCTATACTGAGGGAGAATTGAATCAGTAAGACAATAATATAGCATTATTGAAAACTGTCTACCTTCTAGAACAAGGGGGTCAAACTCGCCATGTCACGTGACATGTCATGACGTATCATGACTTTTTGCACATTGCAGTTTGATACCCCTGTTCTAGAAGTTTCACAAGTCTTACTGTAAATGTTTGAGAGACCATTCTCAGACTTAACAGAATACAAGCATATTGCATTCCTTTCTCTTTCAGAGACTTTCAAATCCATCAACAGAAGCCAAGTGCATGATACTGCCTTGGGAAAGGGAAAAAGGCTAAATGTAGAACAATGGACAAAGAAGAAGACTAATTACCATCTGTACCTAAGTACAGTTGAAATATGATTTTTTTTTACAAATTAGGGTTTTCAAGAGAAAAAGCAAATTATAACAGAGCAGTATGAAAGCAAAGTACAGATAGTCCTTGACTTATGACCATTTGCTTAACAGCAGTACAAAGTTACAACATCTTGAAAAAGGTGACTTACAACCTGCACTCCCACTTATGACCATTGTATTATCCCCATGATCACAATTCAGGTATTTGTATTTCAACTGTACTTTGGCTACAAAAGAAAAAAAATAGTCTTCTTCCTTGTCCATCTTCTGTGGTCTGCTCTTCTTTATATAAAGTGAACAAATTAAATGCTGGTGGGTCTAGTCAATGACAATGTATGAAATGTTCTAATCTTTAAATTTAATAATTGCTGGGGAGGGGATGAAATGATGCCCTGAGCAGGAACTCACCAACATATGCAACAATGGAAGTGTTGGGGAGAAAAAATACAAATGTAAGTCTATCCATAGTAATAAACTGGGGCTCTACATATCAGGAATTCATTATGCAGGATGATCTACAACAGATATAGTGATAATGAAAGCTGATGCGCAGGTAAAAATCCATGATTTGAGATGTGTTTGAATATTAGTAGCTCCGGTTGGTAGTGGGGCTGTAGATTTGATCTCCAAGCTTTGCAGCCAAATCACCAAGCTTGGAGACCAAACCTACAGCCCATCCAGGATTTGTCTCAGCAAGAGGGTTATAAAATGTTGCTTCTATCCATTTATTATATTTTTTAAACAATTGCTACTAGGAAGGACAGCTGGCCAAAGATTGTTCACAGGATAAAATGAAGGATAAATAAAACATCCTGGATTTTAAAATGTATTTCAAAAATCCATATGTTGCATGGCAAACCTTTCACTGAGCTACACAAACTATTTTTATATTCTCATGTTCAAAGTCCTCTGCATGTAAGCTGAACAATACATAAACATTTAAAATACAGTAAGAGAGCATGGAACATCAAGTATTAAATATGAAGGGGAACAAAAGAAAGCTTTTCTAAATAAAACTAAACAGCCAACAAGTAGCCGCAGAAGCTAAAAGCTTTCCAAAATAAATAGGTTTTACAACCTTTCCAAAAGGCTGGAAGAGAAAAACAGTTTTTCCATATCAACAGAAAGCTGATTCAAAAGCTTTGGAGTAACTGTAATAAAAATCAGATACTTGGCTGTTGTCAGTTTGTCTCATATGAAACTGAAAGAGATCTGAACATTTTCCCATAACTGAGCCTGAGGTTTAAAGAGAAAGCTGGTCTCTTGAGGACCTCAATCTAAGACCACAATTAATGTCAGAAACAACAGAGGGGCACTCTGAGACTCAGAGATAGCCTATATATTGACATTCATGCTAGGCATGGATATTCTTGCCTTTGATAGCCATAAAAAGGCAGTCCTATCATTAGGACCAGAAAAGACATTTTTCATCTTTCCAACAAAGAAAGATGGATGGGTTGTCCAGTTGGGAATAAGCTCTATTTGTCATACAATCTTTTTTCTCTAATAAGTGATATTAATTGTATTGCTCAAGTATAGCATCAAGTTTGTTTTTCAAACTGATGTTGACAGTTCATATATAATTCATTGTTTAATAAACGGAATGTACGCGCAGTAGAGAATCCAGTTAATCTTGCTACTTTAATTTGTTAACTGTATTAATGTTTCTACACACACACAAAGAGACAGAGAGAGAGAGAAGAGAGAAGAGAGGAGAGAGAGAGAGAGAGAAGAGAGAGAGAGAGAGAGAGAGAGAGAGAGTAAATTGAGGGGGGGGAAGAATATGCTTGTTGTTTTATAATTGTCCCCCCTCTCTCAAACCTATAGAACAAGATAACCTTGGATTATTAGAATTAATTCTGAAAAAAAAATTGGATCATTTGATTGAGTATAAATTAATTTAATTAATAAAATAAAATAAAATAAAAATGGTTGGCCACAAAAAACAATCACATACTTTGGGGAACAAAGCAATAATTGTGATCATTATATGTATCCCAATATAATTTAACTTCCTGTTTAATTGTCTAAAGGTTCAGGTAGATTCTAGCTTATGAAATTGATAATTTTATAAAATGATTTCACTACATTACCATAATACAGGTAGCCAAAGACTTACAACCATTTGTTTAGTGCAGTGATGGCGAACCTTTTAGAGACTGAGTGCCCAAACTGCAACCCAAAACTCACTTATGCATCGTCGAGTGCCAGGTGGGTGTGGCCCATTGGCTGGGTGTGGCCCATTGGCGGGGCGGGGCCAATTGGGTGGGCATGGCTGCAGTGGTAACAGAAGACTGGATGGGACTAAAAAGTTCAATCAATCAATTCCAACTTTGCAAGATCTTTTTTTTTCCCCGAGAAGTTGAAATTGACTGATTGATTGAACCTTTTTTTTTTTGCACACGGCGGCGGAGGCCTAAAGCGAAAAGGTTTTATAAAACCCAGCTGAAAGCCTAGGACTGGGGTGACGATGAGGGTGCCCACAGAGAGGGCTCTGAGTGCCGCCTCTGGCACCCGTGCCATAGGTTCGCCACTACTGGTTTAGTGATTGTTTGAAGTTACAATGGCACTGAAAAAAAGTGACTTATGACTGTTTTTCACACTTATGACCGTTAGAACATCCTCATTGTGGTCTAAGTCAAAGACTACCTGTCATTATCATTTATCTGCAATGGAGGATATGAAAATGAGAGAGAAAGAAAATAAAAGATAACTAGTCTAACCACAAATGGCCTTTCATAATTTTTCATCAAATCTAGGAACATATAAATTGAGGAATTTTACTGAGTTTTATCAGGAAAGACATTCATTCCTCTATAGTTTTTCCAAAAGACAACACCTATTTCCTGGGTCTAACGGTACTGCTACGGAAAATCCCCTTTTTCTCTTGTGATCATTTGCCTGGGGATTGAAATAAAGCGTGTGAAGCCAAAGAAACTGCTAAAGAAATTATTGTCACGTGAAATACAAGATACTGTCACAAATAAGGTAAGGCTATCCATCAAGTTCTTCACCAAAATTCTCTTCCATTTTGAAAAATATTTTAAAAACAGATTTTCTTTCAACAAAAATGAATAAAAGTTTGTATGAGAGACATATAGAAATATTTTCTCTATCTGGCATTGAAAATAAGAAGGGAAGACATGAACAAAAGAACTAAGAAGAGAAAGAAAAATGGAGAGGGTCGCAAAAAATATAGAGGTCTATTATGGGTCATGATTCTGCCCCATCTCTTAAATAAAGAGTTGAAAAATCCCCCAAACATGTATGAATTATCGTCCCTTCCCCCAGCATACAGAGCAAACTTGATCTAGTGTGACTTTTTGGAGCTTGAGATAAGAGTTTTGAGCAATATGCAATTTCATCCTTTCACTTGACACTAGAAATTATGTTATCTATATCCTCTTCTTTTCATTTCATTTTCATCAACTGTGTGCAGGTTTGACAAAGAGATGAAGTGTGCAGAAATTATGAATTGTGGCTCGTCTACTTACTAATATTGCCAGTTATTCCATGTCACTTAAATCATTGGTGAGTAAGTGAGTGGTTAACAGAGCTAGACAACTGCAAGATATATTCCATATGAAATGACTGAATCAAATATTGAGATCTATATATAATCGTGACAACTTCCTGATATTTCAAAGTATCATTCCAGCTTTCAAACAACCAATTACTTGAACATTTTTTAAAAAAAGCCAGCAAGGAAGTAAAATGTAAAATAAAAGAATAGGATTGCATGTCAATGCAGGAAGATGATATAATAATACACATCTCTCAGAATTCCTACTTCTTTTAAAAAAATCTAACAATTAAAAATATCTAGTTATATTACAAAATGGAACTGTGATTGAAGGGCTTTTGGATTCTCAAAGATCAGACAAATGGTCCCAAAATTCAAGATCACATGTATGATTTTGTTTATACCTATTTGTTTATACCTATTTACATGGAACAGTGAGAAAATAACATACATTCTGGAGAAAAAACTATCTGCATTTGCTCAGGCTTCTTCAGATAAATGATGGCTGTTTTTATGATTGAGGGACTCATTTGATCTCAAATATGCAAGTGACATTATAGGAACCAAACAGAGTTGTAAGTTTATATTTGATGCAGCAATTGAATGCTAAGAACTGCTATCTTTTGACAAATAAATATTTAATGATAAATTAGCATCACATAATGATCTGAGTTATGAAAAATAAATCTTTGGCGATTTATTACTGTCCTGTATTTTCTTTGTTTCTTTATTGTCTTAGTCATTGACCTCTCCTCAACATGATTTAATAGCATAAAATCTAAATCATGAGACAGACAAACTTAACTACCCACATGGATAACAAGTTGATTCATGGTCGCAGATGTATTTAAGCCTTGCATAAGATTTGGGACAATTTGCCTAAAGATATGTCACCTTGGACTTTCAAAATTGGCAGCTTTCCTCCTTCTTCAAAGAATCAATAGAAACAAATTAAGCCAAATTCCTTTTCTATCTCAGAATGATTCATTTCCCCCCCCCATCTGTCTCTAAACGTGCTTGATGTTCCACATATATTTTTAATACCTGTTTATTTTTCCTTTCCCCCCCTTTCAATTCTGAATACTTCATCAGTCAAAATCCTGATTTCTCAGTCGTAATAAAAACAGACTCTGAGATTCTTTGTAGGGAATATTTATCTTTTGTTACTCTCTTTCTTTCATACGTTTAATGGCTTATATATTACAAAACAATACATAATTAAAGCAAGAATAATTGTATGAAAATTCACTACCTTACGATCCTATCATTACCAGTCTTTCAACAGAACCAACATTTAATTTCTTGAAGTGTAAATGTCTACATTTTCAAAGTCATTCAGGTCTATCTAACGGCAATATATATTGCAATTACATTACCTGTGTATTCTAAATGAAAGCCAGCAGCCGACACACTAATATCTGATTGAAAATTTAAGTACAAATTGTTGGACGTACTATTAAGAAGTGGAGGTATTGTGGTTCCTGGGGAGGGAAAAAGAAGTTTCCAGGTTATTAATCTGCAATTAATTCTTCTATTTCTTTCCACATTTCACAGTTTTACCTATAAATATAAGCAATGTTTCAGTTTACCATTTACATCCATTTCAAAAGAGTGCTCTTAATGGACAGTTTTTGCTTATAGGATCCAGTCAGCCACTTTGGTTCTTGGTGACTGAGACTGAAAAGTTTTCCTTCCTTTTCAAGTTAAGCAAGGTTCAGAAAGCAAGTTTGAAGTAGTAAATCAAAGAAATAAAAAGCATAAAAAAGTGAAATAAAACTACTAAGTTATATAAACACCATTCACAATTCCTCTCCATATCGTTATATCTTTCAAACTATACTAGTTTCCACCAAACCTATGAGGATCTTATCAAGTCCATCTACCTACATCTTTCTCAGTCTTCCCATCTTCTGATACATCTTTTTTCATATATTTGTTTTGCAATTCAATCTTTTGAAATTCAATCATCATTCATTCTCTAACTGTGATCAAATCCTCAACTTGTTTCTTTCATATTGGTTATTGACTTTTATAAGCAACCTATTTTCATGTACGCATGTATGTATGCATGTATATATGTATTTTTCACATTTTTTAACTGCCAATCTCCCAATGTTCAGCAACCATTCAATTTCATCCATTCTCGTTTATCACACATAGTTCTTAAATGCCTTGTTCCAACTACACTCAACTTACTTCTACACAAAGGAGAAAGAAGCATGTTCTTAACACAGAATTTCAGTTCTTTCTACATATATGCCTCACAACAGACACTTATTACTTACTATCTCTCTACTATTACTCCATTAGTCAGTCTGTCTATTATTGGATCCTTGCTGTAGACTTTAATTATGCCAAGTTCATGAAAACACATACTCAGTTTGCATTGCATGTGCAAATTAATTTATACACACTCACAAACAAATCAAACTTGTACTCTAGAGTTGATCTATATTTTATACCTACAATTAAAATATATAGCACCATGAGAAAGGTTAATTATATAAGTTAATGTTTAAAATAAAAGTGCTGGTAAGTTCTGATAGAGTCAGCAGTTTTGCTATTTGTTCTGTCTCCCTGCTTGGTCCCCTAAATTAGCTACAATTTCAATTGTTCCTTGCAGCATTATTCTGGAGCATTAAAGAAAAAAAATCGAATGGTATATGGCTTCCAGGCATAACTGCTGCTATGAACTGTGGTCACCATAAATAGGTACAGAAGTGGGTAGATGGACCAGAAAGTTGGGATTTCTCCAGGCAATTTATTGAAAATTGAAAATCCATTGTTACTGGTGAATACTTTGGTTGGCAATGCTGAAACTTTTTGGCGCCAGCATTCCTTAACAGTAAAAAAAATAGTTAAAAATAAAGTAGAACAATTCAGAAGAAAGTGATATGATGACAAATATTTTTGCAGTGAGGGTTGAAAGCTGAACAAAACAACAATAGATTTTCCATAAGTTGAAAGGGCCTTGGAGTACCAAAAATGTTTAATTTATAAGCACATTAAAACTTCTGGAAAACATAAATAGCTTTTTTTATTTTTGGCATAGCACAGAGGTGCCTAAACTAGCTGAAGAAGTTGATTGCTTCAGCTGTTCGTAAGCTCTATGGAAAAGTCACAGCCGATCTAGCATGCAAATTACTATTATTCTATTTTGTTTTTCTTTTCTTCTTCCACCTACATACAGAGTAAATAATGATGCTTAGGAGAAAAACAGGAAGAATCAAAAGCAGAGGAACTGCAAGGTCACGGCTTAATTTGAAAAGAAAGGGAAAGAAAAGTGGGATGATTAAATGACTCAAAGTTATATAAAAGCTTCATATTAAGAAAGTTAGGTACCATATTTAACCAACCTTGGCTTTTTGTAATAACATCCACTCAGCTTATGTATCATAGTATCCTTAAGACCCACTTAAAAAAAATTCATTGCTAATATAATTTAAACTTCCTTGCACTCAAAATATATTACATGAATTTCAGCTAATGTTGTGTTTGTTTCCTGTAATATAGAGATTCTGTTGGGGCAGATGGTAATAAAATCAGCTCCAGTACTGTCAAAAATTTATGGTAGTATTAGATAATGAAACTACCATGAGTTAGATATACAGTTGTCTAACTTGTTCTGTAAAATGGTGCATTTTAACATCATATATTATATGAATGTGAGATGTTTTATACTTGGCATTTATTCCTAGCACACAAGTTGATAGTTTGCCACAAAACAGAATATCAGACAAGAAGTTATTATTTCCATTCACCTGAGTAGCTTCCAAGTCTTGGAGCATTGTTATCAGCACCATCATAAAAATCTAAAGAGTCCCAGTTATGCTCTGTTGCAAAACTTATCACTTGTACCTGTATAAAGGACAGACATAGTGCAAAATTACTAGACAATATGGAAGTCCTCTACTTCATGTTATATTGCCAGAAATGAATCAGTATTGGAGGGTTCATTCAGATTTATGTATTTCAACTAATTATTGGATTTCAGCCAAATATATTTCTAAATATGACTTTATGCACAATAATGATTGTAATCAAAACAGAACAGAACAGAATAACAGAGTTGGAAGGGACATTGCAGGGCATCTAGTCCAACCTCCCACCCAAGCAGGAGACCCTACATCATTTCTGACAGATGGCAGTCCAGTCTCTTCTTGAAAGCCTCCAGTGATGAAGTTCCCACAACTTCTGAAGGCAAACTGTTCCATTGATTGATTGTTCTCACTGTCAGAAAATTTCTCATTATTTCTAGGTTGAATTTCTCCTTGATCAGTTTCCATCTGTTATTCCTTGTCTGGCCTTCAGGTGCTTTGGAAAATAGGTTGACCCTCTTCTCTTTGTGACAGCTGCTCAAATATTGGAACACTGCTATCATGTCTCCCCTGGTCCTTTTCTTCACTAGTCTAGCCATCACTGAAACCTGTCCCTCTAATCCCCACTACCACCACAACTCAATGACTCAAAATAGAGATGCTATAATTAGCTATGTATCAGTATTTATGAATCACTGTATTTACTTCTCAGTGGCATTTCAGGTAGTCTTTGCTTAATGACTGGCTGTGTTATAACTGTTTAAAGTTACAATATTCACAGAATGGGTACTTTAAGGCCCGTATAGCATTACCACTTATTCATATGTTTGTAAATGTAGAATAGTTAAATATTGTATCAACCAATGATCAACTAAAGTACTAAATACAGTTATAGAGAATAATGTTCCATATCGTTGTCATTAAATATTTCCTTTACTTTCATCGCCAAGTGTAAGACACATGATGTAGGACAGGGGTTTTGAAACTTGGCCCTTTTATGACTTGTGGACTTCAACTCCCAGAATTCCTCAGCCAGGCACACTGGCTGAGGAATTCTGGGAGTTGAAGTCCACAAGTCATAAAAGGGCCAAGTTTGAAGACCCCCTGATGTAGGAGATGACCAGGCTGAACTTAAGGGAGGGGTCAAACATATCATAAGTCACGAGTCTCTATTTGCCTGCAAGAGATCTAAGTCCAACCCACCTTGAATGCCTCTTAATTACTGCTCATTTCCCTTGACCATTAGTAGCTGAGATTTTGTAAAGAGTTTAAACTTTCAATAAATCCTTATAGGCATTTGAACTGCCTGAGTCTCCTGATTTCCCCAGTGTGGCCAGTACTGTGTTCATGTATCAATATTCTAACCAAAGGATGCCTGACATAATTTGAAATTTAGTATAATTATTTGATAATTAGATAAATGGCTTAAAATACTGCAGATACCACATTGTTTTCACATTGTCAGTTAATTAACTTTTCAAAACCAAAATTAAACATGGTTCAAAGGTCTTTGCATGACTTTGATTAAAAAATACACCCTTCATCTCTGTTCTAGTTGTTATCAAGTGCTGTTAAGACAAGGTTATAAATCTCTAATGCTGTTTGAAATCTTGGATGGAAAAAAAAGGATTTTATAGCGAACCAGCTAATTCTCACTATGAGAGAATTCTGAACACATGTGTGTGGGTGGAACTGCTAATGCCTTAGATAATATGGTTTCTTAGAGAATCCATTGTATAATCAAATGAGAAAAAGTAACCAGCTCCCTTAAAGCAATATATACAAAGAGTCCACAAAACACAGTACCATATGCTTTGATTAGTTGTAGTTCTGCAACAATGACTTTCCTAGCAAAGTGATTTAAAGAGTAATTCATGTCATTTGTTAAAGATCTGCACATCATGATTAACTGCTATAAATTAAGATCATTATTTTTCTCCCCTATTTATTCCATGTTAACATATTTCATACACTTTCTCATAACCATATTCCAAAGCTGTATCATAGACTATGTATTTATGTGGGTATGCATGTCTTAAAAATGTGCAGAGATTGGAATTTGATGGGCAAATTCTGAGTCGATGTGTTGATGTGTATGTAGCACCTAAATCAACTAGGTTTCTTTCTATGTAATCACAGTTGCCCGCTGCAGCTGACATACAAACACACACACACACACACACATGCACATATGTCTACCTCATAGGCATTGCAAATGGGGCACAACAGATTATAAAGCTGACATCGTTGTCCCATCTGACTGAGTCCTTACCATAATATTTATAGAAATGAGAGTTAAATTTTGTGCCTCTATCACAGATGGAGAACTTTGGCATGTCTTATTTTCTATAAGCTCTCCACAAATCACTTTCTTATCCATTATGCATATGTATTACTCATAATAGAAGAGGGAGATAGATGGATTCTATCAAAAAGAATTAAATATCCTTCATTTTCCTGATAATGAAGCAGCAATTTCAAAATAATTCAGACACAAGAGCACTAAAGCAGGATTCAAAAACCAGAAGGAACTGCAAAAATATTCACAAAAGGAAAAAAGGATAGAAAATAATATCTTTGTTTATGAGTCAAACAAAAACAGACCTGCTTAATTTTTAAACATCTTAATTTGTACAGATTAAAAGCATCTGTATTTTTACCTGAATCCCAGCTCCCTCTGGCACTGTGATCTTCCACACACAGTTCAGATTGTTGTCATAAGGCTCAGGGTATCCCGGAGACAAAATCGTTCCTTTACGTTTAGTTAAAATACCTCCACAGGGCACTGAAAGCAGATATTTTAACTATGGAAATGGTTCATGTATCAAAACAGAGATACAATGTAATAAAAGCTTACATGACTACAAGCATCATCAATCTGAGCAGTTTTACAATACAATTCTAGAATTCAAGACAGACATGAGAAAAGAAATAGGAAGCAAAGAAATTACTAAAGAAATAAAGCTTTGACATAACAAATTCTGTTTCAAAAATTGGAAACACATCAAATTACTTCAAAATCTATTTTGTTTTGTTTTTTTTAAAAAATGGAGTAAGCTGTATGTATGCTGCTGTTATAGCTGAACAATGGATTAGGCAGAAATTAAAACTGAAAATTTGACCTAATATGAAGACCCTTGGATGTACTTATATCTACTTTCTTCTATTAAAAATACACCTATTCTTTTAAAACATAAAATTCAGAAGCAACTTTGAGAGTATCTGGAGAGGATATCAAAGAAATGGGACCAGCCCATTCATATGTCTTGTGCATAATCTGCAATGTCATGGCTACATACAATTTGTAGAGAACAACAGAAATGATTTTTGAAAAGGAATGTGGCACTGAAATATTGGGGCTATCGGTACAGATCAAAGAAATAATGAAATCTTGCTAGTACAGATGATCTAAAGCTACATGTGAGCAGCCACATTCCTTTTCCAAGGTCATCTTTGTGGTTCTCTACAGACTCCGTGTAGTCCTGAGACTATAGTTATGTTCACTGATTTAGAAGATGTATGGAATATCTGAATGAACTGCCAAGTAGAAAAGCTGGACCATCAACTCAGTCAGCAAAGAGTGAGGTAAAAAAGATTATCAACAACTAGTTCTGTTATCATAAATATTGCTTTGGATTATCTTTGCTGGGAAATTCTTGCTCTGGAGATAATATTAGGGGATATCTTTCATTCTGAACTCCTCCCAAAAATGAAATATAAATGCAGTAATACTTAATAACTGAATGGGAATTGAGAATGAGATCCTAGTGAACTCTTGGAAACTTTAGGAAGATTCACCCATAAATTGAACTTGGGAACACTATTGTATAGTGTGTTCTATAGTCCATGCCATAAATGTGATGCTGAAGAACTATTGCCTGATCTGTAGGGCTTGAATTACATAACTCTGAGGCCTTTAAATTTTATCAGTGATATTAATACAGCTAAATTACCCTTCAGACTTTTTCAAAATGATAATATCCATATATATATATACATTTCATACATCATAAATATGGTTTGCATCCACTACAAATATCTATCCTAATGACAGTAATATTAGACATAAATAGAAAGAATGCAGTTGGGTCCTGCACTGATATTTGATGCTAAACATGAATGATACTTTCGGTCAAGCCACTAGACATTATAATATAATCACATTAGGCTGTCATCTAAATACAGACATTCTGCTAGAGTTTTAATAGCTTGAAGAAATGATTGATGAGAAGTTTTATCAGCACTATTAGTAGCCAATATATCATTCTGGAAGAAGAGCATTATTAAGTCCTGTGGCTCATTTCATTAGATACAAATATGAGAACTTGAAGAATATGTAGAAGAAAGAAACTTATCTGAGTAATGAATACAGGAGTTATATTTTGTAGTGCACATAACTGATAAAAATCTGTCAAGGACTACATGAATAAACTAAAGGTCAGTGACACTTAAACAGTTTAAATAATTACTGGTAAAAGCAAGAGCAGACACAATGACTGATAATTGATATCTGTAAGGGAACATTGAGCTATTTGCTAGCAAGCCATGGCCATGTGTAGCATTTCAATTACTAAACTCATTTTCTAACTGCATGCTTGTATTAGAAGAGCAGTCTGCATGTATGAATAATATTTTGGACTTATAAAACTACCACAATATTTTTTTTTTAATATTTAATTGAATTCAGTGAAAAAGCTGCTCTATAACAACAGATTCTAACTGTACATGTGGTAAAACAAGTAAAGGACACACATTAGACCTCTCCTCCATCAGTTGCATTACCAGTGTGTTCCTGGGTCCAGGTTATCTGAGGGACCATCTCTCTCTGATTATATCTATTTGTCCCATTAGGTCTCGTCTGCTAAAGAATTCCATCTGATAGAGCTTAGGAGATAAGCCTTTTCTTCCATGGGATCCACTCTTTGGAACATCCTCCTCCCTGAGATCAGGTTAGCCCCAACCCTTGTGATCTTTCAGAAATCACTTAAAACATGTTGGTTTTTTTTCAACGGGTCTGGGGATCTTTTGGCAACAGAGACCTTGCATGCTGGCTAAATCATGTGTAACCTTTAATGCATTCCCTTTAATGATCTGCAAGCCCACCTACACAGTAGTTTTAGACAAAATAGTGTCCCAGGGCAATCTATGAGCTAAAAAAACCCGAATGATAAACAACCATATCCCAGAAGGATAGACAAGAACTTCTGTCCCTGAAACCTAGGTCCACCGATTACTCAGTAACATTTTCCCCAAAAGCTGCTCTTGAGAAAACATCTACTCCAAGATGTTTGATCTAATCATCTTCCACTGCATTACTCAACGTGCAGTCTTATGCTGAGCATTTGTAGCACACTGTGATTCAGATGCCAGTGTTGATTTTGGATTATGAACAACTGTCTACACAGAGGGATGAATGTAGCTTCTAAAATATAGCCCAAATTCCTAGTTAAGAATAATTCAATATTTTCACCTCCCATGCTGTTGCTGCTACATCGTCCTCATTTCTGGAGTCTGTCTTGGTTAGGAAAAAAGGCCCACTGCTTCTTCATCTATTGGGAGTAGACCAATATTTCTGAATCTTAGCAATTTTAAGATGCGTGGACTTCAACTCCCAGAATTCTCCACCAAACATGCTGGTGGGGAATTCTGTGGCTTTAAGTCCACACATCTTCAAATCATCAAGGTGAGAAACACAGCACTAGACAATGATTTCAAAACAGGAATGAGCAAATTCTGCAGGTATCATGGTCACTATCTTTGAAGGAATATAATGATTAAAAACATCATTATAAACTGAATCTGGAAACCTTTCAAATAATTTTTTTTAAAGTAGGATTTGTCTATAGTAATGCAAGCATGTATTTTCAAAATAGGATCCGAGTGAAAAAATAGAATTTTATTACAACATTCTAATCACAGTTCAGTAGAACAAAGTTCCTATATATGTATTAATTTAATGCAATTATTTAAATTTCACTGGCTCACAAAAAACATAAAGTAGGGGTTAACTGAATACAAAGATTGTAAAAATGGGTCTTTTAGCACATTGTTTCTACTATGAAATGCATTCCTCTGAGAACTGTATTTGGCCCTTAATTTCTCTTTCCATAATGACAATATTTTTTTTCCAGGTGATGCTATTGTTTGCACTTTACTTACTCATATAACTGGTATATTATATTCTTAGTTAAATTAAATAGTCAAGATTTTTTTATATACATGAATGGGCAAGAGATAGTGGAGTAAGCCAGAATAGAAACTTGGGAAAAAAATCACAGGAAAAAAATTCTCTTGTGTGTTTTATGCTTCTTAAAACTTTTTATTGAGACAACTTTTGACATGTTTACTGTTGTTATAATTTTTGTATTGTTGCGTGCCATGCAGAGTCACTTATTGTGAAAAGAGTGACTATAGAAATAAAATAAATAAGGGAGGGACAAACACGGGTGCTGTTACCACCTGCCCCCCCTCCCTAATATGTTATTGCTGTACATACTGCAATTTTTTACTAGTCTATTTTAATCAGTTGACCAGTTTTATTGGTTTATTTTAATCAGTTTAATCAGTTGAGCTGGAGTGTATTGTGCTTAGATCAAGTGCAATTGAAGAAACAAATAAGTATATAAATAAACAGACAAACAAACAAACAAACAAATAAATATAATGCAGATATGTTGCTGTTTGTGGATGAATCAGGTTCTTCACCAACCTGAAGGAAATGCGGGTCCCTTGCAATTTGGAGGTGTGTGTGCCTTTCCTCTTAGTTATGGCAATTTTAAAAATCTTAAAAGCAGGAGAACATGGTGTTACAATGCTATAGGGTTTATAACAGATTCAAATGAATGGGTCATTTTATCTTGAAGTACAAAGATAGTAGAATAAACCCTATATCCCATTCTGTAAATATATATATGTATATATGTATATAACCTCCCTGCAAATAATTGAATTTTCGCTACTCACCAACACATGTAGGAAGAGTATCGTTCCACTGTGCCAATGCATTGGGCACTGTGTCACATCTAATTGCGATTGACCCATACAGTATGTAGCCTGGATTACATTCAAAAAGAACCAAGGAACCAACAGCAAACTCATTTCCAATTCTTTTCCCAAATCGTGGTTCGGGCACCGAACTGCACTGTGTTGAACTTGTTCTTGGAACCGCTAGAAATACAGTAGAGAAAATGCATACTGCTTCATGGCAGAAAATGAGATAATCCTAAATATATTTATCACAGTTTCAAATAAGAGGCTCAAATGTCTGGAAATGTCTAGAAAAACTTCCCCTCCCATTAGATAACAGAACAGTTGTAGCAAGCTTTTCACAAAATAATATGGAAAGTACTGCTTTATTGAATTAATATACAAAGCAAAATTCTTATTTTTGTGACCGGTAGATATTTAAATTGATTAGCTACATTTTTATGAATCTCTGCTCTGCTTGTCATATTGATATTCAGATTTATAAAAAGCTGGATTATAGTAGCAAATGTTGACATGCAATTATTTTTAAAGTCTCTGATCCATTTACAAAAAGGGAAACAATAGAAAGCTGTATTCTTATACATACTAGATTACCCCCACTTTTTTTCTTCATGGATCAGATTGCCTTGTAAATCAAAGAATATGTTTTAATATTTAATAACAAAGTTATTTCTACTGCTCAATATAATATCACTGTCTACTGTATATTCAGACATAGCAATATATATCTGAGCAAAAGGTTAGATTGAATATTAATAGATAAGATTATAACTGAAATAGCAAAAAAGGCTTGTCATCACTTTTCCCCTTTAGATTTCAACCCTTTTTAAATTATGAAAGCATTGCAGAAAAATGCAAAAAAAGAGAAAGAAAAAGGAGGAAGGAAGGAAGCAAGCAAGGAAGGAAGGAAGGAAGGAAAGAAGGAAGGGAGGGAGGGAAGGAGGGAGGAAGGAGGAAAAGGAAGGGAATGAAAGAGAAAAGAAAGAAAGAAAAAAGAAATGAAGGGGAGGGAGGGAGGGAGGAAGAAAGGAAGGAAGGAAGGGAGGAAGGAAGGAAGGAGAGAGAAAGTAACTGTTTTTGCAGCATTCCTATTTAACTTGGCAGATTTTCTGGTTAAACACAAAAAGACTTTGGAGTAGATCTGTGGGCTACTGCTTAAATATCCTCTGCAACATTCAATTTAGTTCATTCTGTTTAGGTCCCAGTGCATTCCAGCACTGACCTTTAGATTTTTTTATCATTTAGATATTCCTATATGTTCTTCAGAATGTTAATAATGAAAATATTTAAAATAACCAGACATAGTATTGTAACAGTAATACAGTATTTTTTAAAAAAAAAAACCTCTGAAAGGTCAATAAAACGTGAGAAATTAGCAAATCAAATTAATTGAAACATGTTAGAAGTATTTATGTGTCATACCTTGATAAACAAAGTGAAATCCTTTAGCTGTAACAGGTCCAACTGAAGTAAATCGGACAGTTATCTGGTTTCTTGAGCTCAATGGAAGGGATTCTCCTACTCAAGAAAGCAAACACTGTACCTCAGAAACAATTTTCTGTCAAGAATCCTACAATATCATTTGCTGAAAGTTCAAAGACCACAGATTCTTATCCTCTTGCAAGTATCTTGTATAAAATGAAGGACTTTTTTTGCAATAACAGTCTATAAAAATTAACGGCCTTTGCTTATTATTTCATTGTTTACTACACTGTTTCAAAGCAAACTGGCACCAATAAAGGGATAGATATGGGGAACTAGAAGATACATAAAAATGATGTTCATGAATAATATTTTGTTTGGCATTTTACATTTATTTCTTGATCTGTAACATATCAGTAATAATGGGACAGACTATTCAGTATGAATGGATATAACTTTATATTTTAAAGAGATGGGTTCAAAGGAAACAATATTTTGGGGATTTGATTTAATTTAATTTTAATGTTTTTAAATGCTTGGTGTAAATTAGTGTTTCTCAACCTCAGCAACTTTATCAGTGGTGGGATTCAAACATGTGAACAACCGATTCTCTGTGTGGATGCTGCTTCCAGATGTCCATTCTAGGCCTGGGCAACAAAAAATTAGCTACCGGTTCTGCTGAAGAGGTGCGAAGTGGCTGAATCCCACCACTGAACTTTATGATGTATGGACTTCATCTCCCAGAATTCCTGAGCCTGCACACTTGCTGAGAAATTACAGGAACTGAAGTTCACATGCTTCAAAATTGCTGAGGTTGAAAAATACCGGACAACATAATTATTTCTATCTCTATAGCAATAAATTTTAATTTGCATAATCCTGCAGATTTGAAGTTTGAAGAATCAGAAGTCTGTATCAACTGTATTAAATGGAACCACTTCCAAATATGGCAGTTCTTTCAAAAAAAGAAATGAACAATATTTCTTCTTTTAAAAATCTTCCTAATCTTAATTATTAAAATTAAAAACCAGACGAAAAGATCAATATCCATCTCATCAATGGAAAGTGCTTTTTCTCTTATGGTGATTCCAAGGTTCTAAAATTTTATATTTCTTTAGAACTTTTTAAAATCTTTTAAAATTGATATCTTATGAGTGACTTTCACTAAACATAACTTATGCTATTTAGCTACAATGATATCCTGCAACCATCTGTTTTGGGGTTTGCCCTCTAACAACTTCAGGAAAATGTTTGCAAGATGCATAATTCCTTTTTAATATATTCTGAATAGACCATCCCCTAATACATCTGCATTATATTTTGGAATACATCAACAGTACAAGCTCTGTTTATATTAACTCAAAAGACAATTTGCCCTTGACGTGATGGCCCGATGCCTGGAGGCCGTGAGGGTCTGGATGGGGAGGAACAGACTCAGACTCAACCCGTCCAAGACCGAGTGGCTATGGCTTCCAGCGCCTCGGCATAGTCAGCTGATTCCATCGCTGACTATAGGGGGCGAAACTTTGGCCCCCTCAGATCGGGTCCGCAACTTGGGTGTTCTCCTGGA